CTCTCTCTCTCTCTCTCTCTCTCTCTCTCTCTCTCTCTCTCTCTCTCTCTCTCTCTCTCTCTCTATCATTTAATACACACATAATTACAATCTCTTACATTTAGGTCCCGATAATATGTATTATTTTATCCGCGAAGACGCCTACTGTCGCCGACCGAGAGATGTGTCCGGCATTGGATTAGATCCGCCCGATTATGTACGACACCATTCACTGTCTAAACAATTAATTCAAATAATACTTATCACTAAAAGTCGTATTCCAGTGCCCAGAAGGCGGTGACGTCCGGGAACTGTTGGGCTGTAATCTCCGCTTTTATCCGCCAGAAGTGGACGACTTGTGCAATAACCCGGTGCTCGACCACGCGGTGCTCTCGCCCGACAATAAGACCGCGTGGCTGTTCCGGGGCAAAGATATCTGGCACCTGCACAACCTGCCCACCAATCCCAAGGCGTCGCCGTCCAAATGCAATGTCACCAAACATTCATCCGATGTGACAAAGATATGGCAAAAGTTTGACACCAAAGGCGACGCCCTATTCCTCCTCGAATCTCCCGGTCAGCTAAGTCTGGCGACCATTTTAAGCACAAGAAGTTTTGTTTTACTGATAATGATTTGATTTTGTGATTTTAGATAAAAATCGACACGATTTAGTACTCCTTCATCGCCACAAATACACGATTTGGGACTTTAATGGCGGCGCCCCTAAGGTCGAGGGCTTCATCAAAGAGCAGCCGATCACCGCTTACGGCAATAATAAGGGCACAAAGAAGCAAATGTTTACCGAAAAGCCGATCGTAGCGCCAGTAGAGGACGACAAACGCGATGAGAAGAGTATTGTCTATCAAGAAGAGCCGTTCAGAAAGTTATGTATGGATCCGACCATCGATTCGGCCGACTCTAGTCTAGACGGCACTGAAATATATCTCTTTAAAGGCGATAGTTATTATTTGTTGACTGGTATTTGTAATAATATGTCTCTTTTAAATTAAAAACTATAAGTTTGTTTGCGTTAAAAGGTTTGAAAATGAAAGGCATTGGAAAGTTGACCAAATTTGGCCGATCGGACAAATTGTTGTCTAACTTTGTGTCAAAATCAGCCGCTGTTATGACGTGCAAAGAGGGCCGAACTCGTGGCTATACTTACGAATACTTCTCCAAAACAGGTACAAAACAATATCACTGTTTATTTTTGGTCAAATATACGACTAAAACATGTCTAAAACATTCACTTCTTTGACTATAATATGGGTAAACAGCGGGAAAGAAGACGACAACAATGTCTAAGAGTTGGGAAATCGAGACGAATGCCGACAAACCGGAGGAGGAGTTCATTGAGTATACGGCCGCCGGGTTTACGGCCGCCTTTCACAACCGCAACGTTACCGACCCTCAGATGATTGTCCTCCGCAATGACGATGTGATTATACCATTCATTACATATTTTATACGTTTTTTTGTGCTGTTTTTTATTTGCAAAGTTTGCAATTGTTTTTTAAAACGACAAAAATATCTGTATATTTGAAAGGTTTTCTATTATTCAACAGTTGGCGACATATTTACCCGCAAACGACGGCACGTCAAGCACTACGAGAGCGCCGAGAAGTTGCCGCCGGGAGTGACCGCCGCCTTCTCGATGCCCGACCAGATGTTGTACTTGTTTCAGGGCAACCATTACTGCTATCGAGAGCTCTTCTACAATAAAAAGCCACTTTTTGTATGCATTAAATTTATTATACAATTAACAAACAAAAAAAA